GAAAGCCTTTATTAAAGGGGAATTAATGAGGTATGCTAGAAACAGTTCTTCCTTTAAATCTTTTTCGGAGACTAGGGATAGATTCTGGAAGCGGCTACGGTTGAGAGGGTATCCGTTTGCATTTTTGCTACCACTATTTCGCGAAATACGATACAGCGACAGAAAGAAGTGGCTTTTGCAGAAAGCTAAGAATAGGTCTCAGCGGGCTACTGTATTCAAGACTACTTTTAATTGCAGTCACGCATGTATTAGGAATGTAATCAACAGGATTATGCCAGAAATAGACTGTACCGTATGTTACAAAGCTACTGTCACATTAGCTAATCTTTGTAAGTAAGTTCTTTGGGGCCACGGTTTTAGCTAAAACCGTGGCCCCAAAGTATTCTTACGCCTTGCGTAAAAAATTTCACAGCTGCGCCTGTTCCTTTTCGTAAATCCGGCCAAACCTTCAATGTTTGCGACCATCATTATTTTTAGTCATATTATGGCTTAAATACAGGCGTTTAGTATTTGATTGTAAAACTCCCTGAAGAAGTCTACGTTAGTTAGACGAAACGCGTAGGAGAATAAACAAGTTTTACAGCAACAGTTCGCAGAGTGCTGCTCACTAGTTTAGTTTTAAAAATTTTAAAAATAAATTAAAAAAAGTGTTGAAAAAATATTTCACGAGTGAGCGCAGCGAACGAGTGAAATATTTTTCAACACTCGAAGAGAAATTTCGTATCCCCGCTCGGCCATGTAATATCCTCTATTTATGTTAATGTGGAACTGAATACCCCGTATGTAACTTCAAGAGAGGATAAAGGGGACAGAGAAGGCATCCCCCATACACACCCTATTCCATAGGTAATTCGTCTCGAGTTATTTTTAACACCACAGATCTCAAGGGGGATTAGACAACAGCCAATCACATAGCGCGAATGTGTTGCGCGTGGATGACCCACGCTCAGAGCCACGCGCCCTTCACGAATTCACGCGGAACAAATGGCGGAAGATGCGGAGAGCGATATTGCTATTCGTTTTGTCGACGAAAACGACTACAGAGAGATTTCTGCTAAAGCTGTGTCAGCGAAACGGAATTTAAAAAAGAATCGCCCTTATTATATAAACACCAATGAAATACCAGGTGAGCTTTTGCGCGAAAACTTGATATCTTCACATGTGAAAATATCACCTTTGCTATGGCTATATAATAAATCGCGCCTTTCACACCAAAAAACTGTTAAAGTGAAATGGTTTGGTATTTCATTGGTGTTTATATGATAAATGGAACGTTATATGGCCGCTTGGAGATACGAAATTTCTCTTCGAGTGTTGAAAAATATTTCACATATCTCCGCGTGGCCATGTAATATCCTCTATTTCCTCTGTTGTATAGAGCTAACAGTACAGCAGGGAAATCCCGAAATCCTTAACACACTAAATATTCTCTCAGGATCATTTATAATTTGCAGTTTGATGAGAGTAATTTCTGGTTTGATATTTATTCTTTTATTAGTCTTTAATTATTCAACAAAAATAACACTTGCCGTCCTACTTGCTTTATTGTACAAACGACCGGTTTCGATAGACAGGCGAAATTTCTCATTTTATTAAAGCACTGAGGTTACGACAACTTCGAGTTAAACTGATTTCACGGTTTGTCAAAGAGTCCAGCGATTCCCTTTTCCCAGGTGAGCGCCGACTCATTTCGCTTCAATATTCAGGAATGCTCTCGATCTCTTTACGCTTTCATTGCCTTTCGCCCGACATGTTTTGCACGACGTTTAGTCATGCGAAACCTCCACGAAAAATCCACGCAGCGCGCGAGGAAACTTTATCCCGATTCTAAAAATAACTCGAGACGAATTACCTATGGAATAGGGTGTGTATGGGGGATGCCTTCTCTGTCCCCTTTATCCTCTCTTAGTAACTTACAATACCAGTATCACTAAATTGTATCAATGGTTTTACATAAGTTTGCTTGTTTTTTGCTTTTCAACCAAATAGCGCTCTGGTCAAGAGATTTTTTGCGCTTGTCACTATTAAAGCCCCGTGCATAGGGATGCAACTTTGATGGCCAACAACTCCCTACATTGTTGAATGTTAAATGTTGCGTCCGTTTGCGCACCCTGTTACATGTTGTTGCGAAAAGTGGTTTGAAACCGGTCAAACGTAAAGTCCCGTGCTCTGTTGGCCAACAACTCCCAACATTGTTGGGAGTTGTACGTAGCTTTAAGTCGTGACCGAAAGCAAAAACAACGCTTGCATAAACAGCATCTGACACCAAGGGTGCTATTTTCTTCCAATCTCTGTTATGTGGTATCTGAAGAACTTGTCTTTACAATTAGGTAAAAATGTTTTAGTTATTGTTACTCTTTCTTTAGATCCTAGACCTCAGTGATTTGGTCCTGTTGAGTAATACTTTAAACATTCAACCCCAAAGCTTAGGTAAGCTTGTCGAGGAAAATATTTTTCTGTCCATGCGCTGGTGAATAATAATGTAACAGTAATAGGAAAAGGCGGAGTTTTTAATGTGTGCGAGGGATTGTGAGTAACAGTAGTGTTGTATATTGTTAAGGGTTGGTTTATGAAGTGCTAGACGTGGAGTTATATTGGACGATGGTTTGTATGTTAATGCTTGCGGTTCGTTGATGAGTTAAAGTTGGCTTCTCGTGAAACTGATATGACCATGTATCCCTTGTTGGCCGCACAAACACCACTTAGGGCACCTGCAAACTGTCCAGAGTTGTTAGAGGAATCGAACGCACTGATATTAAATTTATTTCAATATGATTTGTTTATCCAAAATTTTAGTGTACTCTTTATTTCTTATTGTCAGATTCCTGTGCCATTCGTCTTGTTGCTGTTAGCGATGATTTACACTGGTTAGCTTGTTCAGACTCTACTCAAACAGTGCACATATTTAGCTTGAAAAAAATGAAGGTTTGTAAATACAACAGTTTGAAGCTACAGCTAAACTTGTATTATGCGACGGTCACCCTTGGGTACTTATCGTTTAATAAATACAGGTACGACCAAACTAAAAGTAAATCAAGTAAAGGAGATGGTAACATGGAGGTTGTAATCACAAGACTGCGGGTTATGTTTCAAGAAAATGAGTAACTTTTACGGGCCACACACAAAACGTATTCAGTGCAAATGATATGGTACCTCTTCACAGAGAAGAAAAAAGAAATGGTTGGTACTTAGGAAAAAGGACCCGCGAACGCTAATAATGCTTAAAGCTTAAGTGACCACTAAATAGAGGTCAGGTTTTCATCTTAACACGAATTGGTTTGGCAAGGTACTCATTAATACACGTTCAACTGTCACAAGCTTCTACCTGTGCACAATGATGTTTATCATACATTTTGTACGTCTATCTTGTGTGTGCGTTTGTTCTTATTTGAAAGCTAGCAGAATCAATAATAATTTTGTCAGTGAATGATGTTGATCAACGAATTTCTCATCAATATCAGCTGTAGTATCCGCTACTCCTCCTTTCCTTTAGTACATACAGAACGTCCTGCATCGATTATAAGCATGATGCCACAAAACCAGTGCCAGCTAGTGAACAATACCAACAAACGGACAACCAAATTATTTTTGTTTTATTTAACAGCTGAAAACCACACTTCCCCGTTTGGAGTCTCAGTTATCTGCAATGGCTTTCCAACCAGAATCAAATCATCTGGCTGTGGTGTGCTGCAATAAGCAGGTATTAGCATGATTTTTGTTAGTTAACACTGATGTTATTTTTATTATTTTTTGGCAAACAATAACCATGGCTCCTTTTTGCTGTGAATTGCACAGTCCAATTCTATCAGCACAGGTTAATTAGAGTTCTTAAGAAAAACGGTCAATATTTAAGTCCTGTAAGAAAACGAAATCCCTCCACTTGTAGTACATAGTCGCCCTAAAAGGCACATAATCTTTTACCTCGTAAAGCACTGCTCTTCAAATCCACACTGATTGTTGGAATACTGTTTGGGATGAAATTAACTTTATCTTGAGCGATAAACTACAAGTGCGTCAAAATTGGGCTACTAGGTTGATTAGCAGGTCCAGTGACAGCACAAGTGCCACTTACCTCTTACATACTGTAAATAAGCTAACATAGGCCCCACCTCGGGGACAATTTCTCCTCTTGCCGAATGTTTAAAATAATAAATTAAAGGCCATTCCACTGATTCTTGGAAAATTTATTTAGCATGCGCAGTTCACCCTGTCAAGCGAGACTTGTCCAAGCCACTCTCTCAAAGGGAAGCGTGGCCTTGGTTGCAGCGCGGCGCTATCATGGAATAGCCTGACTGACGACTATTTATGGAAATTAGACTCTTCGACACTTTAAAAGGAAAATTGTTTGACTTGGGAATAACTGCCTGTCAGGGTCTGTCATGGCAATTTCTTAAAACAGTATTGCTGCTATTTTACCATAACTTCTAATCTTCTTTATGCAATTAATAAGTAATTATGTATGCATATATACGTATGTATGTCCAAAGGGCGTCAATTAGTGGATAAAACTGAAATCCTAGATACATTCGAACCTCTCCATTGGGACACCTAAATTCAGGGAAAAAAATTGGTCCCGGAAAATTTTTTGCATAGTCTTTGTGTCTGTTACCTCTTTTTAAAGGACCCCTCTATTCAGAACTATTCAGGGGACACTTAAACACTCAAATAAAACGTGGCTATCCACAAAGAGGGTTGATAAGTTTAAGCCTTAATCACAATGATGAATTTTCTCACGTAAACGTTGTATTACACAAACAATGTCGCAGAGATAACGTCAGTCCAACTTCTTGAAATAATGATTGCAGCAGATTCCGAGTCAAAATTTCTTCGTTGGTTAATTATTAACACATCCCAGCCCAACATCTATTCAGCGGACACTTGCCTCGGTCCAGAGGGTGTGCCCTGAACAGCGGTTCCACCATATTCTTTTAAAATCAGATTAGCTAAACGATATTTTGTCCTTTTTATTCGCTATATATAGTCTGGAAGTATTTATTGTCTTTATTCGCTATACATAGTCTTGCACTCTATGCAAACGGTTTACATTGATTGTTTGCATTGTCTTGTTAGCGGTAATATTATTTCTGACGTTAGTCAGAAAAATGGAAATGCAAGACTTGAATGAAAAGATTATGTTAAATATCTTGGCGGTTTCGTTCATAAACATCTTTCCTGGAAATTCCATATTGATACTATTGCCAGTAAAATTAGTAAAACTGTTGGCCTGATTGCCAAACCACGCCACTTCAATACACGATGTATACTTTTAAATATTTATCAGTCGTTAATCTATCCTTACTTAACTTACGGACTTGCTTCCTGGGGCCAGTCTCTGAAGACGCATCTTAATAAAATTTTAATTCTTCAAAGAAGAGCCCCTCGTATGATATTTTTCGCTGATAGACGCGATCATGCAATTCCTTTCTTGGTTGATGCCAATATTCTGCCTCTGTCGTTTCTATATTATGAGTATGTTTCCAACTTTATGCATGATATCAATAATAATAACGCTCCTCTAAATATCTTGAAATTATTTCAAAAAACCTCCAGCATACATACATACAATACACGATCATCTACCTCCGGCAATTTTTACGTACAAAGCACTAGGTTGAGATGCATAAGCGTTCTTTTTCCAGATTTGGCGTAAAACTGTGGAATAAGATACCGTGTAGCTTGCGAAACCTACCCAAGAAGGAATTTAAAAGAGAAATTCGCCGACTTCTCCTAGATATTTTAGTAAAAGAAAATGACCATATAGAAACACTTATTATTTGGGTGTGGCCAAATAGAGTAATGGAAACGGCTTGTTTTGACGCAAATGTGCAATAGGCACGCAATACGTGCTAACGTAAACAAGGCAAGTAAACAAGCAAAGCGAGGCGAATGTCTGCCATGCGAACGTCTTGTACAAGGTAAGAGGCATGTAGGAAAGAAAGCTCTGCTAGTACACGGCACTTTATCGCACTCTTACGATCTCAACAGTTAATCTGAATCTTCAGTATTTTTGCCTCATTGAAATTTTGAAGTCTGAAGTCCAGGGATGAAATCTGTCAAAAATATTTGGGATATTAACGTCAGGTT